AACTGTCTTCACGAATCACCAACTTCTCTCTAGTTTTTCTCGCTGCTTGGGCATCATCATGGGTCGTGCCACATATCAAAATGCTCGTCTTGACGAGACAAACACACTAACAAAATTTGAGTGCGATCTGACTCGTAATAAATGAGATATGAATCTCCAAAGTTGCTGCTTATGACTGTATAAACCAATATCATTTAATGGATATTGGTGCTGGGAGGCCACATAGGAAGCGTACGACCTCTCATCTTTCAATCTTTTGCTCATAACTTTGTCCTGCAGCATCTGTTTAAGCTGAAACTTGACCCTTGGGGGTTTTGAACTGTGAAGCATCTAATGGGGTTGGTCTCAAAGCTATTTGACTTTCTGAAAATAAGGTTCCAGTATAGGGTCTGTTTGATGGTGCTAAAGACTGATTTTCCAAAACTGTTTCTTTTGCCTGCACTTCTTTAGACATTCCGCATTGCAACGAAATTTGGCAGGTATCCTTTTGAAGTACTTTGGAATATTTTCACCCATTCTGGGGAATTCTGAGACTATAAAAAATTACACTATATGTCAAGGCTTTATTGACCGGCTTCTCTTTTATTCCGTATCGGGGACCCAAGGTGCTGAAAAATGTGTTCAAATAAAAATCACTGTTCATTTTAACCTATAGGAATTTTGTAGTATCTTCCTATCTATATATATGGAGAACGTTTATATAAGGTTGCAACCTTAAAATGTAGAATTATAGATGCACCTCAAAAATCTATTGAAAAAAGTTATTTTAAGAATAGACACTCCAATTTTCAAGTGATTTAGATATATATAAAAAAATGAAAATTCAAATACGAATGAGGTTGTGACCATCGAATTGGGCACAGATTCAATCTGAGCCGTTGGCTGACACTGTAGCAGTCAGCTCGTAGACTGACTTGATTATATATATATATATATATGAAAAATATCTTTGTAGACCTTCTTTTTAAGTTTCATTTCTCTATAGACCCAAGGTTTCAAAACCTATCTTGTACATAGAGATTCTATCTTTTATATCTTCCAACTTTATCCACTTTTATTTTATATTTTTGTCAAAACAAATTTAAAAAAGACATTTTTGTTAAACTCCCTCTCTCTACATGTTTTTTTCTCTCTCCCAGTAAATCTCCTAAGTCGTCCCTCTCCGTACTTCCCCAACTCTCTCTTTCTCTCTTCTTATCTCTCTTTCCCCAAACTTCACCAAATCCCTCTATCTTCATTTTTGCCCATCCTCTCTCTCCCCATGCTTTCCCAAATGCCTCTCTCCTCCTATGCTTCCCCATATCTCTCTCTCCATTTTTGCCCATCTTCTCTCTCCCATGCTTCCCCAAATCTCCCTCTCTCTCCATTTTCCCCATCTTCGCCCTCTCTCTCTCTTTCTAAATCACAGTCTCTCTCACCCCAAATCAAAGTCTCTCTCTCTCACCAATATAAGTGACTGTAGCAGTCTTGATTAAAAGAAGCAGAATTAGGGCAAATGTTTTGAAGAAGTTCTAGTGCTTCCTCATCTGATTACAAAGAACCAGAAGATATAGAAGAACTAGACCAAGAAGATGAAGTTTGGAATTTCATTAAATTTCTTAGTGCTGATGCCGGATAAAAAGCAAGATCCTGAGCATCTCATGCTCTTTGCGATTGTTCTGGTTGGGCCTACTGGTGGCCCATTCATGGCATTGGTTTTACTATGTTCTTCTATTTGCTCTTGACATTGCCTAGAACATGGTATATGTACAGGCAAAATCATTGGAATCTTCACTTTGTGGAAATGGATTGCGTTTTCTAAGATAGGTTTATTCCAACTTATGAATAGGCAAGATAGAATTTGGAAAGGGAAAATTATCAATGAAACTGATCACACTGAATTTTGATGATTATGAATGAACATAGCAATGGTGACTTACCTACTCTTAAGCCCTGGCCATTTGAGATGGGAAAATAAGAGCTTCAGTTGCTGTGATTTGGGGTGAGAGAGAAAAAGACTATGATTTATAGAGGATGTAGAAATTGGAGAGAGAGGGATTTGGGGGAGCATATGAGACAGAGGTTTGGGGAAGCACGGGGGAGAGAGATGGATCTAAAGAATCACAGGAGAGAGGATGAGAAAAAGGGAGAGCTTTGGGGAAGCACAGGGAGAGAGAAAGGATGGGAAAAAACTTGGGGAAGCACAGGAGAGAGAGGATGGAGAAAAATTGAGAGAAAGAGAGAGGGGTTTGAGACCTTTATAGGGAGAGAGAAAGTGGACCACGTGAGGAGAAAGAGCGGGTTTGAAAAATATGTCTTTTTAAATTTGTTTGGGATAAAAAGTTGGAATAAAAATAGGTAAAGTTGATTAGGGGGGCTAGAAGATACGTTTTC